TCAATTCAATTGTTGTATCACAGCCAATTAATACGAACATTCTAGCAGTTTCTTTCAAGACATTCACCTGAACTGAGACTTTGGTTACTTATAATTTTGCTACTTTTTCTACTTTGCAACTTGACAACACCTCAATTCAGTTGGGCGGTTCAATGCCAACAATGTTCTCAGCATGCGTTGATAATTCGACCATTCTCTTAAGGCGATTTTTTCCATCCAATTTTGTATAACTCACGGAAAACGTATAGGAGGCCAAAAGTGTTATCATATTATTGACTTTTCGCCCTTGATTCAGTTTCAACATGAATCGAAAAAAAATAACATGAAACTTGATGAGTAAGTTAGATTAAACTGATGAGGGACCGGCCTCCCAACTTAAAATCCAACAGAGCTTAAACGCTTTGTTTCTACTTAAAAAAGAAAAGAAAATTACAAAAAAAATGTATATTGAAAGTTCCTAAGTTTTAGATTTCTTTTCTAAAATTTGTTTACTTGCAAGCTTCTGCGCTACCTCAAACTACCTTCGAACATTGGGAGGTGCTTTCTGAAGACTCGAGAGGTTATTCATTTTGAGAAGCGCGTTGTTTATCTAAAAATGATAATGCGTATCTTAAATGAATCGTGCGTTGGTTGTCATATTTAATTTATCAGCTCGCTGGATTTTTTCAAAACTGTCTTAATCTCGGCAGATATCTAAAACAAGGACAAAAGAAGAGAGCTAATGCATAAAAATTTCGAATTGAAAAAGATGTACTGGATCACTTACGTTGCTCCACCGGCTTCGCGGTATGAGAGAATCAGGCTGAATAACGCCACTAGCTTAAGCAATGAATGTATCGGATCAAAAGCTTGATGTGCATGTTTCTTTAAATTGTTTGAGCTAAACATAGGATGTTGAGCAGCATACGTGATAATTGTTATGATAAACTCTTATCACTCTTATCGTCATCGTTGGGACTCCCAACGATGACGATGAAACTACAAGTACAACACGAAGCTGATTACCGAGTCAAACGTTGAAATGGCCATGCGGGAAGGGATAAACGTTTGACTAGGTAGCAAAACCAAATAAAACTTTTTTGAAACTTAGAAGTATCCAAAAACTCTCTATCCTGTCCACCACGTGTACTTTTTGCAAATTTTTCCGTGTTCGCTGTTTGATCATGTTTTCGAAAAACATCGTTTGAAAAAAGTCATAATCCGGCCCGAACGAAGCGGTAACTCATACACGTATCGGTAACTGGTTCCAAAAGTTTTATCAGCTGATTTCAGTAATTGTTTGACCAAAAACGATCAATAGGAAAATGTACAGGAGAAAACCGTTGTGAGCAAAAAGTGAATAAAAGAAAGACCATGTAGATGTTTTCATAATTTCGAAAAGTAGCGCAACTCAATTGATCTTTCAGAAAAACAAACAAGTCATTTGCTTTAACCGCCACGAGGGATTGTTATATAAATTAACATCTTTACTTTTCCCAGTTAGTAATATGCTTGGGCAATGAAGGCAAGGAACTTGACAATGAGCATCGCGAGAAGGGATGAAGTCGTCCGCATAAGAGGTGAGGTGTAAACTCTCTGCAGGGGCTATAACCGTGATAGAACCAAGCCCTGGAGAACTCCGGGGTGAAATATTCTATGGAAAGACGACTGTTCGCGAAGGCAAGCGGTGGCGTGACGCCCATTTAGACAGTTGCTGAGCCACCGCACTAGTCCTCTTGGTAGCGTTGTACCGAAAGCCATTGAAAGGTCTATTTTTCCGAGGACAGCGCTTAAAAAAAGGGGGCCGATTCTGATTAAAACAGTCAGTGACTGCGCACTGTTGGTGATATGCAATGGGCGGAAACCAAGTTGATGCTTGGCATGTGGTAGATGTTTAATTAAAAATGGATGGATGAGCCTTTCTCGAATTTTAATTGCAAGGCAAAGAAGGGATAATTGCTTGTGTGACAAGGAAAGTTTTAGATCTTTGTCTGATTCGGGCCAGGGAGTTTTAAACGATTTTTCCTAGTTTGAGGGATTCTGTTGTCAGTCAGCAAAAAATTCACAAAAAAAGTTAAGTGCAAAGCTAGAGGACCGAAGTGTTTGAAGTTAATATTGCAGAAGCTAATCGGGTCGAGTGCTCAGTACGGTTTGCTGTCAGTTATGGCGGGTTTTTGCGGGGATAAAAAGGTGACTCGTTGGGATAAGGAGTGTTGTAAAAAGAGGGAGCTCGGCTATTTTGCGTATCGTTGTACGAAGTAGTTTGTCTGAAGTCTGGGTCCTTGCGTTAGTGAAATGTTTGCTAAAAGCTTGGGATTTGTCTAATCTGAAGCTGATATACTTCGAGTGAAGTGGACTGGGTGCTTGCGATAGTGAAAGGTGGCGCAGTTTCAGATAGGTCCGACTCAATTTCTTGGTAAAGCATTTCCAGTCAGCTGCAAGAGAATTAATTTAGGTCATTTTCGCAAAAAACTAGCTGTTCAATCAGGAGTAGTTCAATAAGTATGGAGAAGTCGTCTGATCTTCCGATTTCATCGGTAAACAGGATGCGGAGAGTAAAAATGATGGTAATTTCAGTGAAAGGTCACTGCTTGCTTTTTAAATTTCGTCGCTAGAAGCTACTATGGTTTGATTTTCGTCATTTAGCGCATTACTAGATTCGGTAGGTTTTATTACTGAGAGTCTGACCGCGTTGATAATCTTCTATGTTGGATACCATGAGCTTGAGTGTGCGTTTAAATCCCAACAACAAGTGTGTCCCTAGGTTCAAGTAGATCAGTAAGCGATGCGGAGTAACAAGGGGGACAACTGGATTTGAGGGGAGGTAAAAACTCTAAATAGGGCGTTTAGACGCACTGGCTGTCAGCGAGATACACATAGCCTCTACAAATCCGTCACTGGTAATGTTTCACTAGAATTGTAAGCCACCACCTTCTTTAACTATGTCTTTGCAGGTAATGATATTAAGGGCACCAATAGAGGGGGATTCCGACTTTGTTTCCTCATCTTAGTTTCATGAATGACGGCAATATGGAATCAATTTACCACTAAATAAAGCAGCAAATTTGGGCGTTTTCTCGGGTATTCCTTTACAATTTTATTGCCAAGTGCTTAGAAAGCCTTTGGCTGGAATTAGAGAAATTTGAGGTGAGTTGGTGGTAGTTGGTGTGATGGTTGAAAGTTAGGGATTTAATGGAGGGGCAGTATGGGGTAGGAAGTGTTGGTTAGTCAAGTTCATGATGTTAGGAGTTAGGGGACTCAGCGGGGGGATTTGGTTCCGAGGAGTGCTAAAATATAATTAACAGCGCAAAGGACAAAAAGTATATACTGAGTGGTCGAGATATCTCTTTGAAAGCTTTTAAGGTTGAACCATTTTCATACAATCGTCAATCATATTTCCGTCTCTGGAACTAAATTATAAGTTTATCACAAACACATGGATTCGTTCTCTTTCATTGTTTTATCACAGCCAATTAAGTCGAACTTTTTCTAGCAGTCCCTTTCCAGACATTTCGGAATGTTGAGATTTCGGTTACTTATAATTCTGGTACTTTGAATTTGACAAATCCACATTAGCGTGGTCGGTTTGACGCCAACAAGGTTCAGTGATGGCCTAGTTCTTCCGATCATACTCGTTGCGTGGGCAGGATCTTTAGAATCAGGTCAATTTTTTCCAACCAGCTTTGACTACCGTATGGAAAGCTTGAAGGACACTAAAAAAACGTATCATACTGAAAGTTTATCGGTCATGATTCGAACTCCTAAGAGTTTAAATTCCTAAGAATTCCAATTTCGACACAGCTGTTTATAACTCTGGTAGATATATTCGCTTGGTCGCTTTGACGCCAACAAGTAAAGTATCAGTGACGCAACCAAGTACGGTATCATACTGAACGTTTAACGGTCATGATTCAAATTCCTAAGAGTTTAAACAAAACTCAGTTTCGACAAAAAGCTGTGTGGAGTACTTTCGATGACAAATAGATATTTAATGGGGCAGAATATATCTCGTATCACAAACACATGGATTCGTTATCTTTAATGTTTTATCCAGCCAATTAATTCAAACATAGCCAATCGAAGATTGGAAAAAAGTAATGAACGCAAGTAAACATAAAAACACTGACTTTCTGGAAAAAAAAATTTCAATTTTCGAATTTCAAAGAAGAAATTTGGTTGGGCGGTTCGATGCCAACAATGTTCTGGAAGGCGTTGTTTCGGCCATTCTTGTAGAGTGGGAAGGATCTTCGGATTCAGGCCGGTTTTTTCCATCCAATTTTGAATAACTCGAGGAAAACTTATTGCAGGTCAAATGTGTTATCATACTATTGCCCTTTTGACCGTGATTTTGATTCTAACATGATTCGGAAAAAAAATTAGATGAAACTTTATGAGTAAATTAGATGAAACTGATGATAGACTGATCTCCCAATTTAAATTCCAGTAGAACTTTAACGCTTAGTTTCAACTTAGAGCGGAGCTTCTTATTTTTTTAACCCCACTTACTTGCATCTTTTCGTCTAAACGAACCGCCAATCTACAGGAAAAGAAAGGAAATCTGAGAAAAATTATTTTTTTTTAATTTGAATTTTTTTTTAGATTTCTTTTCTTAAATCAATTTTTTGCAACCTACTGCAATACATCAAATTAGATGCGGCCATTGGGAGGTGCTTTCTGATGATTCAAGAGGTTATTATTATTAGTTCCTTCTATTAAATTATTAAGCCCCAATAAATTATTTAAGTAACTTTTTCTGCTTGATTGGTAATCACGGCCAAATATATCTGAAGCGCGTAAAAGTTGGCCATAATTTCCGGAAACTACTTTTTTTGAAAAAACGTATATAACCGCTCGAATCAAGCTTGAAATACCCCCAGTATAATATATCATTCCATCCTATCTTGCACCTTACGATTATTTCGGCACCTCAATTTGCGGGTAAGACACTACAGGTGATGATTTTGATAAGAGTGTTATTTATCTAAAAATGACAATGTGTAAAATAACGACAACCAACGCACGATTCAATTATCAGCTTGCGAGATCTGCTCAAGCTCTCTTCAATCTCTGGAGATGTCTAAAACAAGGACAAAAAGAATAGAGAGCTGATGGATAAAAATTTCGTGTTGAAAAAGGAAATACTGGAACACTTACGTTGCTCAACGAGCTTGGCGGTGTGTAAGATTCAGGCTGGATAACGTCACTAGCTGAAACAATGAATGCATCGGATCTAGAAAGTTAGATAGGCATAGTTTCTTGAAACTGTTTGAGCTAAACCTAGGATGGTGGGCAGCATACATAATAAAGGTTTGACTAGGTAGCAAAGCCAATTTAAACGTTTCTTGAAATATAAAAAAACCTCTATCCTGTCCACCACGTAAACTTCTGCAAATATATTTGTGTTTGCGGTTTGGTTTGGTCATGTTTTAAACCGAAAACTTCATCTATATAGATGCCATAATCCGGCCCGACTCATATACGAAGCGGTAAATCGTTCCAAAATTGTTGTCACCTGATTTCAGAGAAAGTGTTTGACCAATACCGAGCAATAGGTAAATGCACAGGAGCGCAAAAACCCATTGTGAACAAAAAAAATGAGAAGCAGAAAGACCAGGTAGATGTTTTCATAATGTCGATAAGTAGAGCAACTCAGGTGATCTTTCACGAAAAAAAAAACAAGTCATTTGCTATTACCGCCACGAGGGATTGTTATATTAGTACAAATTAACCCCTTTAATTTTTCCCAGCTTAAAATACCCTTGGACAAGGAATTCGACAGCTGGGCTAGGTAAAAAAACGATTCATCAAAACGAATAGGGCTAGTTTCGCAGCGAACATCTTTCAATATATTAGAATTTGTGCTTAATGTAAAATAAGCACAAAAAACTTAAGGAATGCGCTTAACAACCGTTTGCGATCGAATCTCAGACAATGACGATATAAAAAAAGCTACGATTAAAAAAAATTGATTAAAAAAAAAGAAAAAGCAAAGATGTTCAAATCGAAGAAATAGCAAATAAACGCCAAATTAGCTGATAAAGAAAAAAAATACTATCGATCTAGCCGCGGAGAAAACTCACCGAGTTGGCTCAATGAACTCCCTCTGAAACGATACAACTTCAATCTGACCAAGTCTGAACGCAGAGATGGCATATCACTCAGATACCATCTCTGAGTGAGATACCATGTTCTGAGGGAACCTAAGAACATGCCGATGGCATGCGGCGAACAGTTCAAAATCGCATTCACTCACTGTCCAAAATGAGGTAACACTATCATCAGGCACAACGAGATACGAGACCCATTTGCAAAATTAATAGACGAGGTATATTGTGATGTTGATGCCGTTATAAGGTGAGTCCTTTGTTATAAAATCAACGATCACTGTGAATGAGGGAAGATTAGACATCAAAGCAAATGGTTTATGGGAATCCAGATTTAACAAGACATATTTTGATGTTAAAAAATTCATCCTCTTGTCCCAAAACTAAGGAGGATTCTTAAAGCAATCATGGAAATCTGGAAAAAACTCAAAGATGAACAAAGAAAATCAAAGTTGAGAAGGCCATCTTCAATCCATTGATTTTTGCATGAACTTGTGGAACGGGACCTTCTGCCACTAAGTTCATAAAAAGAATTGCCTCTAAATTAAGCAAATCAGAGGCGAAGCAAAGCTCGACCAAAAAAAAACAAAAAGACAAATGTTGCTTAAAAGACAAAGAAGTATCATTCAACCATTTCAAAAATGTACAAGTAACAATATTTTCTAAAAGTGAAATAAAATTAGATTACGTTTTTTTTTCAAAAGGAAAACGAAAAAAACTTCGAAACTAAAAACTAATATCGTTACAATTTTATTACACTGAAAATACATTTAACTAAAAGAATACAAATTAATCAGGAAAAGTAGCAGACAGCAACTCAAGTTGGCAGAGTAATACAACAAATGCGTCTAGCAATTTTGAACAAAATAACCGAAAAGTTTTAGTTGCTTTAATTCTGATTTGATAGGACTGTTTGGTCTTGCTTGGTCTTCAGTTTTCAAATGAAATGGCTACTTTAAAGAAAGGTTAGAAACCAGCGAGACAAGTGAGAAAAAAAGAAGAGCATCCAGTTTTCAGAGGACTACACTACATCAAACAAATTCAGGAGTAACTTGGAGATACTGGCAAAGCCGAAGCGCTCAACAGTACAAATTCTCAATTTAAATCCAACTAAGCATTGAGTCATAGATCCGACTCCATCCCATGTGAGCAACCACTTGAACGTTCTCGGAAAAAAAAGAGACAGCAGAGAGTTGAATTGAAGAAAAAATCTGAAATGATCAAGAAGTGGCTGAACTAAGGGTTAATCATCCGAACGGAAAAAATTCTAAGGCACAGAAATTAAGATTTTCAGAGGAATTTTTCAAACCAGCTCAGGAATATCTTAAAGATACTTGACGCATTCCAAACTGGTGATACATAAAACAGTACAAGAAGGATGCAGGGCATAATCAAGTTTACGCGAACATTAAAATAAACGGTTTAACTTTGGAATCAACTAAGGAGAATTTCTCAGTAAACAATATTTGTCTAAGCAAAATATGCAACAGTTCCATTCAACCGCAGAAACTGAAAATCGAATATCAAACAAAACTCACCTTAACAAAAAGAACAGCGTTGAATAAATGATAAGCAACATTTACACAGACGGGAACCAGAGCTTCGCACCAACTGCGATACAACATAATTAAAACAGCATGACCTTGAAAAAGACTCAAAGATAACTTCCAATGATGAGAACACTAGCGAGAACACGACAAAGAACGTCCAATAGTAGCTCAAGAACGTGCAATAAGAAACAGTAAAAACTAGCCTCGAATTAGTAAAATTTCGGCTACGTCTCGGATTCAAGATGCGGCCGATGATTTATGAGTTTCACGTACTAATTACTCATCGACGGACACTAAACAAACCATAAAAACCGTGTCTGTAGAAAACAGTCCCATATAAAACAGTCCAATACAAAACAGTCCGGAAAAGTATGAAAATGAACGAAAAAACAGTCCGATACAAAACAGTCCGAAAAACAGTCCCAATTAATAATTGTTTTAACAAGCAGGCATGCCGAGAATTGTCCTTTGTTCAACAAACATTATGAACAAAATGGTGACCGCCGCAGCCGCGCCAACGTGTTGCGAGCTTGCCAACAGATGGTAGGAATTAATACAAAATTTAGAGCCGGTTATCGCCGCAAAGCGGCGACGCGCGCATAGCGCGCCCACCGGCGACCTTAAACCGGACTGTTTTGTATGGGACTGTTTTGTATATGCACCATAAAAACTAGCCTCAAATAAAAGCAGAGAACAAATGCAATAAAAATTCCAATGTTTACAGATCATGATTATAGGAAAAGTGCCACCAAATAAGTAAACAATTTTAATGAATACTTTTATTTGCAAGTTATTTTAGAAAAAAGAAGCTTATTACTAATACACTAACGCTCGCTAGCTTAACAATATATCAAATCTTCAGACGTTGTGAAAGTCTTATCATAAGCCTCGACATTTGGACTCAAAGATCGAAAATTCAGGTTGACGACTGATATATACTTGATCTGGTGATCTATCTCTCGGCTAACCTCTAGAAGGTGCTCTTTGCGAAATCAGCGCTTCCTCGATGGCATCTCGAAACGTAGCTTTATCATTCGCATCACCGTACCAGTCATTTACAGCAATGTTATTCAGCTGTTGTATCTTTGCCACTTTTTTTGAGTTGATCTCGCAGTCAAAATCTTCCGTTTCGGATTGGAGATCGTTAGTGTCAAACTCCAGTACAATATTCGAAGTAATATCGGATAATATTTTCTGCTTTTGTAATCCTTGTTTTCCTACTTTACTACTTGAGCTAGTGTAGCTTTGGGCGCTTTTTTCCACACTAACATTTGAATTCGATTCAAAATCATTCGATTTACTGGCCTTGCTTCTAGAATTTCTATAAAGGTCATCAATGTCACTGCCCAATGAGAATTCGCTTCTGATTGGGTCATTATGGACAACTTTCCTCCCTCTCTCTTCTTCCAACGTACGCTCTTCCACTTCTCTACTTTTTCTTATATTTTTCAGCTCTTCGCTATTCCTTTTAACTCCCTCTTGGTTGTTTTCCTGAAAAGCCGACTCTTGTAGGACGAAGAAAGTCAATGCTAACTTCATGCTCCTCATATTTAAATTAAATTGTTGAAATTTTCAGCGCGTTTTTCTTCAACTAGCAAACCTGTCTCAAATGATCAATCAGCTTGCAAAAAGTTAGTTGTTGTTATGAATAAGCTAAGAATCTTTTAAATTCAGAGATATGAAACGAGATATTCTCCAAGTTTTTTCATGCCGCGAGTCAGATGACAAAAAATTTAATTCTTTCTACTTCAGCGATGAAACTTCAAATATTTCAATTTGCTTAAAGACCGAATCAGTTTACGATAAGTTCAAAAATTTCTAAGCCAGCTATTCCAGTTATTCAAGGTCATATCTAGGAACGAACCAGTTTCTGTTAATTTTTCAAGCAAGCTATTCATTGAATGAAACTTTGAATCTATTTAGATAATTTGATGAAGCGAGTTGGCTCGCGAAACGATTGAAATTTTCTAAGCAAGCTATTCACGCAATGAAACTTTGAAGTACTTCAAGTTAAAACGTAAAGGTAATCGGATAACTTAAAGAAAATTTGTAGTCTTTGAAACGAAATGAATTGGATGGCAAATGTTTACGTTTTCATATTGAAGCTAATCCAGCAATGAAATTTAGAATCATGAAGCAAATAGGCCAGCAAAAAATCAATCGTTTAGGAAGCTACTCAAGCTATGAAATAACTCATGTAGTTTCAGACTGAATCGGTTCGCAAAATTTTCTGACCAAGTTATTCAAGCTGTGAAACTTGGCTGTATTTCACGGTATTTCATGAAAGGAATCGGATTGCAAATAGTTTAAAGTTTCCTATTGGAACCAAAGAACATTTTTCTAAGCCAAATATATGAACAATGAAACTTCAGTGCGCAGATTGTTTTAAGCACGCAATTAACGCTATGAAAATATGAAATAAATCGAGTTGTTTCTTAGATCGAAACGTTTCCTGAAAAATTCGTTTTTATTAAAGGAGCTATTCAAGCTATGAATATTTGAAAAGTTTTGGGTTATTTCATAAACTGAATCGGTTTGCAAGGAGTTTATGTTTTTCATTAACAAACCACAAGCTATGAATTTCAATTTGATTTACAGACCAAATAGGTTCGCGAAAAGTTGAAGCTACGATAGCTTGAAATAATCCAAGTAGTCTTTAAGACCAAATCGTGCTGCAGAAAGTTGCAGAAAAGCTAAATACTTCAAGCTATCTCTCAGATCGGATCGGTTAGCGATAGTAAAGGTTTTTTATGGAAGCCATTCCAGCTATGAAACTTGAAAATACTTTCTGTAAATTCATAGAGTGAGTTGACTCGCAAAACGATTAAGTTTTTCTGACCAATTTATTGCAGCCATGAAATGTTCAATTATTTCAAGTTTATAAATAGAGCACATATTTTTGAAAAAAAAAAAATTCGATGGAAGCTAATCAAGCAGGGAAATTTCAAAATCAATTCGCAAAAAATTTGTATTTCTAAGCAAGCTATTCATGCTGTCAAACTTCGAAACGTTTCAAGTTACTTCATATATCTAACGGGTTCGCAAAAATTTTGATTTACTAGAGCAAGCTGTTGAAGCCAAGAAATTTCGAAGTTGTTTCTTAACCCACCAGCCCGGAAGCCTAACCCGGAGGTTAATTATTGATGTTGAAATGAGCTCATATATTCAGCGCCCTTTAAACTATGACTTACTTGCAAGAGCTCACCTTACAAATTGCAGCGCACGTGCAATTTGAACCAGCAATCATTTGATTGTTGCGCACTATCACTACCGGAGCGCCACAAGGCCATAATTCGTTGTAATAACCTCACTTTGCCCCTTTCCTTTTACAGATGATTCATAAGTTAAACTGCACTTTGTTCTCGTAGTATCTTCTTGTAAGGATTCGAGGGCCCGACAGTGTCTTCAAACTTTCCTCAGCTTGTCTCAGAGAATAAATTTAGGTGAGCATAGAGCTTTATTATTTTGACTCCCGACTGTTTTGTATCTCAATAATAATCTCTCTCTCGTCTACTTTGTTCATATTATTTAAATTAGGTAAGCAAAAATTCATTCGGTCTCAAAACTTTAATAACTTAAATTAAGCAGGTAAATATAGCATGAAATCAACATTGAAATCATCATGACTATTAATGACACCACTTTAGTGGTGTCACATTACCGCTCTTTATACAAATTTTCCGGGTTGATTGAAATTAGCACTGAGGTGAGAATTTTATTTTATAAACTAGGTTTAATGTAAATTTGAGTGAAACTTTAGTCTACTTTGCTTAGCTGCAATTTTTTACAGTCGAGTAAGCTATAAAATAATTCTATAAAATTCGCTTCTATAAAATAATAAATCTCATTCACCAGTTAGGTTCTTCAAACTGAAAGTACCACAACGTTATATCAAATTGTTATGCACCAAATATACACTAACTTACAGTTAAAATTATAGAAAATTTGAGGCGAATGCATTGATTCCGTTATTGAATAAAAGTATCAAAATTACACGCACAAAATGTGTATTGGATTAATGTTAACATCAACGAGATTAAATGATAACTTCAGGAATGGCGCGCAGTCTTCTGAAGAGTCATCGATTTATTAGATTAATTTGATTAGACCTTGATTTCTGCAAAAGTGGATAGCGCTGCTAGCACTTATTGATTTTGGGTAAAGATAAGCCACCATGAGAGTCATTAAAGTAAACGTTAAATGGTTTCAGCAATTAAACGATTTAGTCGTGTTTTCACTTAATGGGGATGAAATGGCCACATGTTCGCATCTCAGTTTTTCCTTTTACAGTTAGGCCGTCGGATCGTTGTACTGGGCACCAATTTGAAGAGATAGTGGCTGTATACCAAGAATTCTTGAGTTCGGAGTCAGTTTGGTTCCTCCGTTAATGTTTCTGGAAGTTGTCCTTTACTCTCATTTTGCTGATATTCCGCCAAATGATCTCGATCTTGACATATCCATTCTACTGCTTTCCATTGATCTTGTCTCGTCATTCAATATGCCGTCTTCCATTTATTTGCGTTGCTGCGGCACCGAAAGAGTTTGGACAATCACGTCAAGGACCGCATACTTAATTTGCTATTCTTCTCTCGATTCCCTAAGTCTTCTCCTCTCTCTCGCGTTCATCGATATTCATTGAAACTACTGGCTTTATTCGAATATCTCCATGTGCTGTCTTTCAAAATCGTGGAGTGATGTCCCTGACTGCTTTGAATCGGTGGAAGAGGTAAGTGGACAAGCATTGAAGCAGTGTACTTCCAATAAAAACAATTACAGTTAGAGTCAATGAAAGTTTTATCGGAATATAGCTTTCAAGTTTGTCCGCGAATGATGGTTCCAAGAGTTTCGTGAGCAATAGGTTTTAAAATTCCATCCAGCTGTTCCATATTTGTAACAATCGGACTATGGATAAGCTTCGCTTTTACTTCTTCCAAAAGTTTGATCCCCGCATCTGTCCTTGATCCAAAATATGGTAGTTCCTTTATTTCCGGAATTTCCGACATGAGATGCTCCAATGGGTCTGACAGTTTGACGTTGATTCGCCTTGCCGGAATTTCGTCGCAACTCCCACGGTCGGGTCTAATCTTGATATTCCGGGAAGCTAATTGCGTCCTGCAATCTAGTGTGATGACGCATATGTTGCAGCCTGAGTGTTCTTTGCGAGACGGAGTGTGAACCTCATTCAGGTTGTACTCCCACAAAGAAAAAGATGAAGAAGCTGATGTAATAAGCCAAATGCCATATCCCAAATCCGTAGCCTTTTCTGGCGTAGGGATTATGACCTTGTCCGTTTCACAGACGGTCAAAGTTGCTACGGGGTTTGGCCAGAAGGGGTTTGCAAGAGAAGACGATCTACCCAATTGGGTTTCCATTGTCTGGTGGCAAATCCTAAATGTAGAAGAACCGAGACACATTTCATTTTGCTCTCGCGTGAGCACAGATGTCTCCATTCCGTTCTCTGAAGTAGTCTCCAGTCCGCGAAGTAGTCTCCTTCAGTTTCCCAACTGATCGCATTCATTTTTCCGGCGGTGGCATTGAGATCAAGTGTGCCCGATAGACCGAGAAGACTGTCAGACTCGACGACATTGTTATCGCTAATGTCATTAGCAAGCATTCAATGACCGTCACAACGTCTCGAAGAAGTTAAGCATCGTAATAGGAGTGTAAATCGGTTGTCGGAATGGCCAAGGTGAGTCTGTCTGCTGCGTTTTTCTGGCTTTCGTATACTGAATTGAGAATTGCGATCCCCGGAGTTTCTAGGGACTAACGACATCGTGAGTCGCTTGTTTAACAATGTAGGTATGGCATTCATTATATTTGTTTTGAAGGCGTGCAGCGCTGCTCTGTAACTCTTAACGTCTGAATACAGAAGTGATGGAAGAGAGGCGGCTGTATCAGATTTGAAATTGAGTTGCTGATTCGAAAATAAGTATTGATCACAGTCACGCAGGATCTCGAAACTGTTTTTGATTACCTTGAACTGGTCCTCAATCACTTTCCAGTTCTCTGGTTGGTTCCTAATTATTTCCTTCGGAATATTGTTGACTTCAGAAAGATTGTTGAATTGTTGTTCTTTGTATTCAGCAACATAGTCCGTCAACCTGATTATGTATTCGGGTAGTTCCTTGATAATTTTGGCATTTTCTCGACCTCTGTCTTAGCAAGTACCAAAAATTCCTAGTAGTCCACAACTTGAGGAATCGTCAATCAAAATACCTGGTCCAAAGAGTCCAATTTCAGCGAGAGTGGCCAGTAGCATCGGCGCCCCTCGCCTTCTCCTCGATTGATTCTCTTCCGCTTCTTTGTAAAGGAAATAAGAGGTTTCAAATTTGATGCTCGATACTTCGTCTTGTGCCAGTTGAACTTCACTTTGCAGTTTTCGGAGCATCCAATCAACATTGAAGGATTCCACGCTGGCGTTGAACCTTTTCGCAAAGTTGAGGCTACAGTCCGTTGACTTCGATTTCCATTTAGTTGACAGGATTGAAAGT